TTTTTTTCCCCCCCCCCCCCCCCCCCCATCACAGAAGTACTGCTACCCCCAGAGATGTACAAACACAGAAGCCTGAAAGTTCCACTGGGCATTTTTGTGAGGCAAAAAACAAAGAAACCCAACCCACCTTTTCAGTCCACATTAGCCCTACTTCAAATCCATGAAAATCTTTCCTGATAAGAAACACTAAAATCTGAATATAAGTAGGAAAACCTAGTAAGCCGATATGATAAAACACTGTGTTTCCTCTAAACAGATCCTAGTGGGAAAACAGTGTTCAAACAGGAAAGGTTCTTCTAATTCCCCACAGATGAAGAACACGGGTTATTTGTTCATTGTTTCTGCAGTTGTCCACTCAATGAACGCACACTAAATGGGCCAAACCAAAAACCAAACAAACTTCAGCAGCTTCAGGCTCTCACAGAAGCAGAAGGCTTTTCCACCTGGGTGCTGATGGAACCGTGAAACAAATAAAGTATAAAGTGCACGAGAAATGCAGCCAGGGGAAAAATAACTGGGGGAGAGGGGCACATCATCTGACTCCCCCGGGTGGCAAACTTTCCAACAACTTCTGAGAAGCAACAAACCACAGCACCACCAGCCTAGATAGATCGGCAGACGGACAGATGCACACACACAACTACCTGTAAGTGTCTGCAAATGTCCACTCTCCTGCGTGGACAGTACAGCAAAACATGGCCAGAAAGCCCGGAGATTTCTACTCTCCCATCTCCTCTCCGCACTGTCAAACACGGAAGGTCATTCGCTTCACTTAGAGAATTCCCTCTCTCCCTGCATCACAGGGAGAGTTTTCTACTTTGGGACTGCTCAACTTTCATATGCATCGGAGCAAAATAACCATTCAGCAACTTTATTCACCTTGGTTTCAAAAAGAAAAAGAAAGAAAGAAAAACATTCATTGTGCAATGCCCAGGAAAAGCTGACACCAGGGCTGTCTCTCCGACAAGCGCTTGCAATTACCATCCGAGAAGGGGGTAAATCCTGTCTGATCAGACCCAGGGGAGTCCTTTTTTAAAAAAAAGAAATTATTCCATCCCTATAAGGGGCTGGAGACATTTTTTTTTTTCTAAGGAGACCACCCTCGGGAACAAAAGTTACATGTCGGTCACATGTTGGGAGTAGGAGTCGGGAGCAGGTTTTAGTTTTTTGTTTTTTTTTTAAGCGCACTCATTACGGGGGTGTTTTCCAGTTGGAGACCACTCGGGCTCCTCCTGACCAACTGTGACGGGCATCATCTCATTGTCAAAAAGGA